AAACCGACTAATTTATATATCTATATTTTAAATTACGATTGTTGATTACTCACTAATTAAAAAGTGGCCGCAATTTGGAAACGCAGAATCATAGAAATTTACTCGTTCCAAATTGCGTCCACTTTTAAACTAATTGGCTTAAATTTCGGCCGCATTTAGGAAGCTACGCAAAACTTATAACATAAGTTATAAAAGAAAATGTCATAAATTTTAAAACATACACAAAAACTACGTATTTTTCGTTGCTTACACGCTTCATTTTCTATAGAAAGAAGAACAAAATTTGCTCTCTTTTTCATTAAACAGCTAAATATAATAAGCTATTATCTATGCCATTTCGTAGGATTTGTGGGTATTGAAGAAATGAATCTTTTACTACACAACTGATTATTTTTATCAGTAAACGTGGCAGAAAGTCTCGCTTCTAAATGAGACTTTTTCAGGTCGCTGTAATAGTTTTGGATGCGTTTGGCCATTTTGAAAGTTTTAAAGAAACAATAAGAATTTACTCGTTAAGCCAGATATATCACTAAAAGCTATAGGGATGCAACGGTAATGGTAAGCGCACCTTACCGGTTATCGTTACCGGTTCTCACTGGTTACCATTACCGGTTTCAACCCACGACGATTGCAAAAGCTACGGTCAGAATTGTACATGTGCATATTATTTTTTGCCCATTCTCCTTTGATACGAAATTTTTTATTAGATGTTTTTTCGAATCACTTCTTCTTGGAGAGCAAATTATTGCTTGTATACCAAGACTTTGCTTCATAAAATAGTCAACATGTAAAACAATAAACTTGAAAAACAAAAGAAATATTTGCTACACAATTCAAAACACAAAATAAATGTTTCTTTAATCACAATTCTCTGTTAATCGGCATAACGTTGAAGAAAAACACTTTTTAACATGGGACAATCTGTGTAACTCAAACCAACTTAAGAACTCACATCACTCACAGAATCGGTAACGGTTAACCGGTTGTCAACCGTTGCACCCCTAAAAAACTAGATGAGATTTTAGATCCTTTAAGCTTAGAATAAAACGTTTTTCAAATATTTTCAAGTATCAAAAATGGCTAATTATATCGGAGATATCCATTACTAACGGTGCAGTTTATACTGTTGTAAGCGCTACTGAACAATACTAATTGAGAATTCAGAGATTTATTGTGTAATTGCAAAACTTTAAAATTACAAATAAAATGCGTGCAACGAAAAAAGACGTGAGTACTATTGAATACTAAATTGTTATTGCTGATTGATTTAGCTGGTTCGTTAACAAAAGAGCTGGGCAAGTCACGGGTTTTCCAAGTCAGAAGGCAAGTCAAGTCATCAGAAATTTTCTCAAGTCAAGTCATGAATAATAAAAAATTTTCCAGTCAAGTCAAATCTCATGGTTTTCTAAGTGAAGTCAAGTCACAAGTCATGACTTGAAAGTTTTTTTGCAATACTGATGATGTAACTGGCAGTGAAAATGGCATAAAAGAGTTTCCATTCCTTGGTATTAGAACACAGGCTTATAACCATAAAGTATTAAAAGCAACAATCTCGCTATCATGTGGGTATCAGTTATTTTTAACTCTTTACTACACATAGCAGATGCAGCAGAGCTGGAGGAATTTGATCTGATATGTCATATATTTTAGTGATGGAGCAATGAGAAAAAATATTGGTGCTTATCAATTGACAGTTTGTCGAGTCTACTATACACAAGAATTTCACCAGTTTTGAATTTGATACTTTTCTACAAATGTTCACTCTAGTGATCCATGGGAGGAGGAGGGAAGGGTCAAAATCCTTTAGCTGATAATGACAGTAAGCTTCGTTTGCAAATAGAACAATTCATTTTCTTAATTAATAATGCATATTTCATAGTAAACGTTAGTCGTCGGATTTTGGCTATAAACTTTTTCTTATAATTTTCATGATTAATTGAACCGTTTCCTATAAAAATTAGTCGTTGCTTTACTTTTCTTTTGTTTTTGTTCATATAGTACGTTAGACGATATTGATCGATAAATAGCGCTAGTTGCAATGAATCATTTTACCCCATCTTAGAATTATTCGAAAGAAAAGTTTAGTTTCATTTAAATCGCGGAGTATCTCTTGGCTACTCACCATTTTCAGATTTAAAAAATTCGAATTTTTAGAAATCTTTCATTTTCATTAACTAAAATACCACGAATCAAACACTACGACAACTTTTGTGTAGATCACTTTGTAGAGAATTTGAAAACGCATCTTTCAAATAAAATTATATATTGAGGTAACTGGAAAACAACTACACTGAAGATATTGACATCAAAATTTTTTCTCTAACACTGTTAGAGAAAAAATTTCAAATAACACAAGCAAGGCTTGCTTGTGTTATTTGTAATAAACGAGATGAAAAAATCGTATGATCTCGATAGGTCTAGATAAAAGGATACTTTCGAAAAATGAGAGAAATAAAACGTTTTTGATCGATCAAAAGTTCATCATAATTATTAATATATTACCCTTTAATCAGCGAGTAATAAATGTTTGAATTATTAAATTTTGCAATGATCTAGAAGAAACTGATCGTTGATACTAAGTTGAGTAATTAACATATAACATTTTTAAATTTAATCTAATTATATTCAAAACTTACTAATCCCAATATGAGCAAATAGAAATCAGTTTGGTTTTTTTTCATATTTCGATAATATAAAAAAAATTTTCTTGTTTATTATATACAAAAACTGTGCGAAATATGACAAAAAAGACTATTGTTGTCACGTGTGACAAAGAGAAAAACATGACGACGAGAAAAAGATTATAGAAAATTAGTGGAAAAGAGCGAAAAAAAGAAAGAAAGACGTTAAACAATGCATATGTATGTATATGAACAAAATTTTCATTTTAATTAATTAAAATAAAATCCTCGCTCTTTACAAGCTGTCATTAAACGTGATTTTAATACTTGTTCAGTTGTGTAATCTGGTAATTTTAAATAATGATAGCACGTATTCACACTCGGATAGCAATTATCATCACTATCGACTTTTCGTGCTACAGCTAAACGTGGACGTAAATTAGCTAAACCACCAGGTGGTAATGATGAACAACCAGTTATAAATTGAACAACTGATTTACGTTCATTTCCATCTAATTCAAGCATAACATTGACAAATTTCATAAAACCCGGACTAAAACAAAACAGACTATACAATTCATAAATACGATAGACAAACAAAATAATCACCTTTCTCTTGTAAAACCATGTTGTGGTTCTGTATAGTTTAATAAATCATCTAATGTCCAAGATGGATGTTGATTTCCACATAAAATTAATTGTAATTCACTTGGATTAAAACAACGTAAATTTTTCACAGAAAATACTTGATCAAAACCATCTAAATATTTACCATATTTTAAATTAGTTTTTAAATTATATTCAAGTAGAGAAGGTGAATAAAAAAGACAATAGCAGATTTTACACTTTCTAAAATCTTAAATTCGCTTTTTTTATCTCAAATATACATACCTCGAAATGCTTCCATTTGTCGTCGTATACCATCTCTCAGAATCAATCGTAACGACAAATTCACATATTTATCTAAATTGTCAATAGTAACCTCCTTTAAAAATAAAAAAAACGAAATTAAATACATTTGATTTATTATGTCAATACTCTTTTTCTACCGTGAGTGAGCCGCCGGGAAATAGTTCGATCACGTCGTAGCCGTACGTTTTTGATGGTGGACTATACACAAATGTTAAGCTAAAAAGAACCAAATTTATGTTGAAAATAATAAAAAATTTAGTAAAAAAATTAGAAATTTTAATTTAAATCTACTTTTAATTTGGAAAGTAAGTTAATTCTAATATTTTTATAACATAATTCTTACCATAAATGTTCAATATCAACTGGCTCATGTACTCTACCATCTTCGTCATCGTCCGTTTTTACTTTTAATTTATTTATTTCACATTGTTTTTCTTCATCGCTCATAGTCGAATTATTTCGTATTTGATTTCGTTTTTCGACAATATTATACAAACATTTAAAAAAATGTCCACGATGTGGTTCTATCTGAATTAAGTCATTCAATCCCAATATACCATCATACCATACATTATCATCATATATCTCTTCATCTTCTTGCATATCATATTTTGGTTTTGTACATAACATTTTCAAAAATGCCAATGATAATGGCATATCAATTAAATATTTATCCAATAAACATTTGGCAAAATAAATGCCCATTAATGAAAAATAATTACACACTTGAATTAATTGTTCACAATCTTGTGGATAGGGTACGGGAAATAAACCTTCTAATTTTCGAACATAAACAGATTCATGTTCTCTATGTTCATGTTCATGATACCACCAAAGACCTAATTGATGTTGTTGTAATTCAACAGAAATTAATGCATAAAATTCTAATGTTGGTCCATCACCAGTTCCTTCTTCATTTAAAAATTGTATTTCTAATTTTGATTTTGATTTGGCATGATAATGAAATAAATTCATGGCATCACGTAATATATGTTCACGATCAACTGGAGTTGCTCGATCAATTTTTAATCGTCCAATTCGATATTCATGAGCTGCCGTTGTTACGCCACCAGTCTCACCACTACCGCCATTCCTTGATGATGTTGCTGTTGCTGGTACACTTCCTCCGCCACGTACCATTCCACCACTTCGCACCGTTTTAATCAACTCATCTCGTCTTTCTGAAATAAGATAAAAAATAGATGTATGCTGCGATAAATACAATTTAGAAGAATGAAGAACACTGACCTTGTAACCATACAATTGATCTTGACGTTCCAAATGAAGTGGTACGAAAAAATAATTGTCTTGTATCATACGGATAAAGAAATTTGTATGAATGTGTTAACCATTCACACCATGTGGGTAATGAATTTGATGCAATGATAATTGAATCTTGGATTTGTTGTAACAACTTATTATTCATTTTTTTTGATAAAAAGATTTGTTGATGTTGTTGATCACTTTCTTCATCATATGATGTTCGTCGGTGAATATAATGTGTGGATAAATAATATAGTTGTCTTAGTAACGTTAATATATCTTCAATGGAGCACGTATTCATCATATCTGGTGATGTAATAGTCGTCGTTGTTGTTGGCTGAGAGAGACCAAGGGTTTCTGCAGTAACAGCAGCAGCAGTAGCATTAGCAGCAGCAGTATTAGCAGCAGCAGCAGCCAGTTCAAAATCATTTGGACATGATGGTAGAGAAATGTAGTGCATTTGTTTTAATTTTGAATCTTTTTCACCATAAACAATTGTATAAGTTGGTTCAAATATTTTTTTTATTCGTTCTTGACGTTGTACAGAGGGAAATGGACATATTAAATGTTGTACGTAACGAAATATTGTTGAATTTTGATCATTCATTTCAATATCAACGGTTTTCAAACCGGGCAACATTGGTCCACGAATATACAGACACATTTTTGATGCAGCTAGAGTATCTGACGCACTTTTCATTGTCACATCATCTTGTTTTACGGTCATTGTTGTTGGAACTTCAATATCTTGTATTTGATTTATATTTGTTCGACCGGGTCTAAATATCGAAAGAAATCCAAGAATTCAATTAAGAATGATTCTATCCTACATAACTCACAACTATAACATAAGAGAGAAATGAATAATGAAACTACCTGGGATCAAATGCTGGTAACAAAGCTGAAAATTGTCGTTTCAATACAAAATCATCATCCCAATTTCGTCTGGTTACTGGCTGTTGTTGACCATGCAATTGTTGTTGTAATTGTTCATCATATTCTTCATCTTCCTACAAGAACCAAAATATACACTTTATATTTTTATTAAAGTATTCACATCGTATGTCTATCAGATAGAGAGAAAGATTCTATGGCGAAATAGAAAAATAAGAATTTCAAAACCCAAACTAGAAGCACAATGTTCGCGATAGATTATAAGCAAACTATTTCGCAGTTTTAGAAGAAGAAAAACAAAAATAAGTAGAGTTTGACCTGTCGAGTAATTAAATTTACATTCTAAAAAGAAAGGATTGATATTTATCATGCAAAATTTTTATATAGATTCAAATCATTATTAGAAAAAAGTAAAAAAACTCTACCATATTAAAAACTCATATTGAATAAAACCGAGATGTCTGTTTTTATTCATTTCATTGCCAAATTCTAAAAATGACTTACCTCTTCTTCATTTGCTCCGTATTCTTCTTCCTCATTTTCATTCTCTCCTTCCTCTTCTTCTTCTTCTTCATCATCATCATCTTCTTGTTCATTGTCTAAATGATATTTTGTTTAAAAAACTTAGAAATGGCTCATAGAGTAGTGTGCACATATTTTACCTTCATCTAATTCAATGGCGGTTGCTGGTGTTGAGCCGACAAGATTTTTTTCAGTTGTTGCTAACGCTGTAATCGTTGTTTCAGCTGCTTCCATTAATATTTCATTTAAAATTTGTTCGTCATGTTTAAGTTTTTTCTTTCGTGTTGGCTCCTCATTTTCTTCATCATCTTCTTGCTCATCTTCGTCCATCTCTTCCATTTCATCACCTGTTTCATCATTAATCTGTTTTTCGATTATTTTATCAACAATTAAACTTAATACATCGGTATTTAATTTAGCCTCTCGTTTTTGTTTGTCATTCTCGTCTTTCGTTGGTATGATGCTAGTAGTTGTGGTTGTTGTTGTCGTCGTCGGAATTGTAGTAGGATCTGCCGATGTTAAATTTGGATAACTTTGAGCAGTAAATAGAATATTCGGTTTTTCACCATTGGATGATGTTGATAGATTCGGTACACTTGCATTCATATCATTCTCTAGTCTAGACACAAAAATTTGATATAGATAAAAAATAAAAACAAGTTAAAACAAACACATACAAAGTATAACGTTCTGTTGATTGAATGACGGGACATTCGATATTTTTCTTATTGTTTTCTTCAGTTACAGCACATATTGATTCAACTACAGTAAAAAAAAAAATTATTTATCGTATTAACGATGAACGAAGTTAAACAATATCTTTCAGATTTTACGTTGACTCTCTGTTTGTAGGATAAATGAAAAAAGAAAGATTTAATCATATAATCTACCTGATTCTGTAGTACTGCTAATCGATTGTCTTGAATGAGTAGTGGTCGTTAGTGGAGTCGTTTGTGCTGAGGTAAAGAGACGATATTGATTATTTTCACTTGACATATTTGATGATGGTGATCTTAAACCTGTTTCTTCTTGTTTATCTTTACTATTATCTATACGAGATAAAAACAAACGATTAGTAACAAATCTGACATATAATTCTTATTGTCATCTACCTTTTGTCAATGTTTCATCGCAATTCATATCGAGCCAGCTTTGATCGGTATTTCTTATGGGTGTTAAAAAATCTTCGGATGTTGATAGCCATATGGAAGATGGTTCTTCTATTGTTGTCTCTAATGGTGTCTGTAAAATAATATCATATTGACGAGCAATTTGATCAGTAAATGCTTTTGTCATCTGAATAAAACAGGACAAAAGTCGTAGAAACAGATATAGAACAAATATCATATAAACTACGTACAGTATTGTTGATACTATTATTATTTTGACCACTATTATTTCCACCAAATGACCTTGGCAAACTCTCGGCACTTGATGCTTGTTCAGTACTAGCAACAGAAAATGCCTGTTGTTCACCATTGCTGATATCAGGCGTCGATATACTTTTTCGTTGGGATAATAAATTTAATATATTCTAAACAATCAATACAATTTTTAACCCTTCATATCTGAGATCTATCAAAATCTCTTACTTTACTATCATTGGCTCCTGGATCTCCCACTAAACGTGCCAAAGTTTCATTGATTGCTAGACGAATTTTTTCTGGATCATCCGAACCGATAACTAAAAAAAAAATTATACATGAACATAAATATTTAGAGTTTAATCTCTTCTATTGTAAAATAAATAATTACTATTTGAAAGATCAATTGGTATTGATAAATCATTCATTTGCTCAAACCATTTTTGTTCAATGGAACTTGCTGGACCAGTTGAATTTGACGATGATGAGGTACTTGTAGCCGCTGTTGTTGTACGCATACTAGATAGTTTTCTCAATATATGTGATTGCATTTTACTTGCATTACGATTATGATTAACTGCGGCCGATGTCGACTGTGAATGTTGATAGACTGGCTGTTGATGACGAGTTGTTCGTCGTTTTTCTTCATCTCGACAAGAACGAGCTAAAAAATACATGTCAAATATATTTTACTGTAAATAAAATATTTTATAAATTTGAAAGTTTTTTTTTTAATGTAAACTTCGATTGTTCTCATTTCTTGGTAGTGCCATGCAGATAACCTAGAAAATTCTTATTCATGTAATAAAACTTTAGATTTCCTTACATCGTGTTAATTCAGGTTCTACAATGATAAAAAAAGAAGAATGCACATTATTTTTATTAGAAAAACTCAATTTAAAACCTACTTAATTGTGTTTCAACAGCTAACAATACATGTCCATATAATTCAAATCCGGCTAATGAAACTGCATGTTTTGGTTGTTGTTGCTGTATTTTCACATATCGATAACCAACTGTATCGTTTATATTCACATTTGATATTGCCCAAGTTGTTGTGTTTAACGTCGATGGTGATGATGAAACATCAGTTATTAAGCAAGCATCAAGTGTCGTCCATTGTAGAGAATCTTTCGAGACTTGAAATGCCAATGTTTTTATCGACTGTAGCCATGTATAAATATTTCCTCGTGAAGATCTCAATGTATAATGTGTGGGTATAACGTGTAAGCCGAGATCAACTGTTAACCAAGTCACTGGTCTTCCACCACCACCTCCTGATCCATCATCTGAGTCACTATTGTTATTAGCATGATGATGTGCAATTAATTCAGCTACATGATGTGGTTGACAATTTGTTTCTGAACAAGTTACTAATACTAAACCAGTCGTAGACGGATTCGAATAATCAGAAACTGTTCGACCATTCGTACCAATCCAATATAATATTCCATTTTGATCAAAATCTTGCACATAAGAAAATGTTTGACGACCATCTGATTTTAATTTTTTAACAAATTCAAGATTTGAACGAGGATAATCGAACCATTGCTTTGATACCTAGAACAAAATTTCTTACTTTAAATTTTTTTAGCAAAAGATACTGAAATATCAATGATGAGAACAGTTTATGAAAATTTTAGAAAGAAATATAAATCATCGATAAAATACAAAAAGAAAAAATGATAATATCTACAGACAAGTTATATTAAATTCTTCTTACCATCGATGCAAGAAATGTTGTTAATTGCTCCACAGTGGCCAATGGTTCAATTTTCAATGTTTTTTGTGTTCGATCAATAAACATTGGTTGTGGTTGTTGACTATGTTTGTATTCTAATTGAAATTTAAAACGTTTAGAAAATATTTGTAAACCATAATTGGATGGTGTATCATATAAATATAACGGTAATTTTTCAACAGAGTCTAATATAGATATTAATTTGCGAATTAGAATATGAAATGCTTGTGATGGTTGATCTTTTAAAAATATTTGACAAAATAATTTTGCTCTATCATAAGCCATAATCATATCTGGTGAATAGGTCATCGTCGGTTTGAATTGTAAATCTATATCGGTTTTAATCATTAGACCATGAAATATTTTAAGTAAGGCTGAAACTAAACCGGATGATGATAATTCATAAAGTGACAGAGTAGTTTTATTCAACAATAAATCTTTTAATTTTTCAAATGAAATAGTTAATTTTTCATGATTCGATTGTTCTTCAGCACAAGTTGTATGTATATCATTGACAATCTGTTTTAATTCATTTAATGATGAACGCATATAGCTTGTAGATGAAAGAGTTTTAAAATAATCTGTGTAGATTTGTAAAGCTAATTCAGTTGTACGCTGTTTGATATGTTCTTGTTTTGATTTTGGTTGTGATGTTACTGATTTTGTAACTGATTGTGTGGATGGAAGTGTTGTTGATGTAGCTGCTGAAAGTAGTTCATTTGCTGTTGACCACGGTATCTGAAACTCTTGACTTAATTCAGAATGAGCATGATAAGTATGACGAGTGCCACGATTCGATTCAAAAATAAAACCATTTTGATTCGTTTCTAACACAGTAATCTAAATAAATCATGAAATTTAGAATAAAAGGTGAATATCTTACGAAAACATCAAGTAACGCAGTTTTGTGACATTCTCTCGGTTCATGCGAACAAACAGAATACTTGATATAGACAGAATTTGTTATAAAAGGAGTTTATTATTTTTTTCAAATTATTTTATTACCTGTTCTCCTTCGATATTATGTATTCTTAATTTTATCTTTTCATTACAATCAAATGACCAGTTACCAACATTTATTGTTCGATCAGTATTACTTTTATCATCAGTATTAGTAAATATTGTTTGTACTTGAACAACAGTATTTTGCGTTTGGTTTTGTTGTTGCTGTGTTTGTTGTTGTTGTTGTTTATCATCACCATTCTCACTACCCGCCAATAGAGCATTTTCACTTATTTGTTTTTTAATTCGTTGTAACTTCTCAATGAATTCTTGTCTATTTTCAATTGTATCCACATTTGTTTCTGGACTACCTACAAGATTAAGAGAAAAAAAGAATCGTATCTTGTTGTAATCAAAGAAAAGAATGAACAAACCTGATGAATACATTGTACACAAACAATTATTCATAAAAAACCGAAACCAACCATTGCTTCCAGATGATAATTCAATCGCTAAATAATTATTCCATATATATAAACACTCTCGATTTCTTAAAAAATTCCATTCATTCCAAATATATAGACGATGGCAGACAATTTCACTGGAATCAGTTGTTAACAGACTGGCTGTAAGCGTTGGAAATACGAGCGGTTGTGGGTCAGCGACGGTGGTACTATCAGCGGTCGGTGCTACTTCGTGAGATAATGCTAAATTTGTTATCTTCCATATTAAACCTAAATAATTAAATTGTTCCAAAAACAAATGTTTATCTTTTGTTAATAAATCTTTGATAATAACTAAGACGAGATTTGCTGTATCATCATCATCATCGGTATTATCCAATATTGAACTTAATAGTTCGAGTAATATTGTTAGAATTGATGTCATCTCATCATTATTTGTATTCGTCATTAAATGTTCTTCGATTTGTTCTGTTGTGGCATAATGTAACAATTTTGACATTAGACGAAGGGTACTTCGTTTAATTGTTAATAACATTGTATTTTGATATAATTGACAAAATATCGATAATAAACGTTTCAAATAAAGTGGTTGCATATCAATATCACCACCATTTACTGTTGTTAACACAGATGAAACTGATTGATTTAAATCCAATTTTTCCTATACCAGAACAAACGGTGCACATAGAGAACACTATCATTCTGCAAACATGCTCTTTCACTAATCACATAGTAGTTTATATAACATAGCAGGAAAAAATGTAGTTGCTTAATCGATTCCTAACGAGAACTTTCTCTTTCTTTTCTTTTCTACATTAAAACTTTTAAAGAATATGATCCACTTCGGTTTCCTACTCTTTTCGATCCTCTTTACAGTGTTTACTTAGATTAAATCAATTTTTAACTTACAATTTCGTTTTTCTGTTCTGATATTGGTTTCACTGTTGTTATAGTTTCTGATGATGTTGGTTGATTACTCGTATCATTTGATGTTGTTGAACGATTGGTGGTCTCCATCCATTCGTGAGCTGACTGTAAAATTTCTACAACTTCGTGATGTCCTTCGTCTGTTCGTTCTCGCGCTTTATCCAAAGCTGTTCGTCCATCTTCGTCTCGTAAATCGGAATTTCCACCATATTTCAATAATAGTCGAACAATCGACGGTCTTCCAAAACAGGCTGAATAGAAAGACATAAGTATTTACTTCTTTCATACTTCAATGAGAACATCATCGCTATTTTTAAATAATTTACCTGCATAATGAAGAGAAGATGATCTTTGACCACGGTTTACATCTGCGCCCTTAGCACATAAATATTCAATCATTTCTTTAGTACCAAATGCTACAACGATATAAAAAACGTTAATTATTTTAAATACTTTCCATCTACTATTAAAATATTACCTGAACACCAATTTAACATGGTCTGACCAACGTTATCACAATAATTGACATCTAAATCTGTTTGCTCAATATGATTAATTAGTGCTTGTGTATCACGTGCACGTATATATTCAATTATCTGTTGTTGTGTACGATCTGATGGCGTAGGCGAGATAGGTGCTGATGTGATAGTCGGTGCTGGAACACTTGTACCTGTAGTTACAGGTATTGTACTTGAACTCGTTGGTGGGGGTAAAGTTTTTGCACCCATTGCTGTACGAGGTAAAGCGTGTCGTCCTTAAAATAAATCAGGTAAGTTGTAAATTAGTTTGCAATCGAAACTAAGTTATCTAGTAAGTTAAGCAAACTCTCGAAGCGTAGAAAAGCCGTCTACTTTCATTTAAATATTACAGATATAACTGATAATTGGAGTTTTGAAAATACATTATCCCTTTGTAGCAACTTTGAACACCCGTAAAATGGTAAATTTGCATCCAGCTTGCTTTCCGTTGCAGATACTGAAAAACTTTGATCTTATGCGATAAAAGCAACGTATTATTACCCTCAAATAGTAGAACAATTAATAAATCAAGAAATCTCATCGTGTCTAAGATACAACGTTCGTCACCATCACTTAAAGCTGAATCCAAAGCATCTGGTAAATCAGAGCGAAGTAAATCTGAAGTGACTTTAGCTGAGCCACGACATAATGTTGACAAGAGGCCAGTAACGACAGATATATTTGTTGATATTCCACGAGTAGTGGAAGTAAAAGGAGTAGGTGCTGCTGTTGATGTATTAGAAGGAATTGTAGAATCTTGATGTGTCGAATGTACGGATGGTAACAGTGGTGGTATTTGTGCTGATTTCGATACATAATGTAATGATCGTAATAGAACATCTTTTAAACTGTATCGAATCAATGGAGCAGGGTCTACATTTTTCCGTGCAAATCGATCAGCTAATGTAGCAAAACATCTCAAAGCATTATCAGAAACAAATGTATCATCGTGCAGTAATAAATTCGATAGCGATTCAATTGTTTGATCTAATGTTTGACAATTTTGAGGATCAATTCGTCCAATTAATTTGACAACAACATTCAAAGCTGATTGCAAAGTATCTTTATGTATTACATAATACCAGTTATTAATAAAATCTAGTACACAATGTAGACCATCTACTTCATAAATGCTTGATGCTTCACGTGAACATATACGTTCGAGAACTTTGATACATTGTTCAGCGAGATCTTTATTTGTACGGTCATCTATATCGACAACTTGTAAACAATGACACATGGCACGAATTGATGAACCATTCTGATGTTGTGTTATTTTTTTTGCACAATCAACAGATACATCCAGAAAATAGGTCAATGCACGAGCTGTGACTTCTAAGACATTTGTAGGCGCTAAAGGATCATTAAAAATATCACATAATGCTGGCAAATAAAGACGGGGTTGATACCTGGAATGAAATGAAAGAATAGTAGCAGTTAGAACAAAGAATTTTGTGATCAGTTCTCGAAAGAAATAATGATGACATTCCGGATTGTAAAATCCCCAGTGTACTTGACTTACTGTTCAAAACATCTATCAATATTATCGGATATTAATAAAACCATGCATAGTTGTTCTAAAGCAGCTATTTGTATATCACGTTCGATTCCACCATCTGCTTTCAACCATTCTAATAATGTTTCGGGATCGATGGCTACTTCACCCATGGTTTCCTTCTTATATATACATCTGAAAAGAACAATAATAAATATGCACAACGCTAAAAACAAAACTAAATCGTTTAAACAATAATGAAAAGCATCTATTCTTATTTTTCGAATTCTTGTATTCTAACTGAAATCAGCTATCAACAAATATTGCCAGAGTTATAGGCGTACTTTCCATTCTATATGCAGTCTCTCAATGTAGTATTAAATCAGAAGATTTTTTTTTTTGCTCATACAAAATAATGAATACAATAGTTATGATTTTTACTATACTGGTCAGCGCAAACATAATACGAATCAACAAATATAGAAACAGCGAAAGACTTGAAAAAAAAACGTTCTGCTTGTTTAAACCGAAATAAAAATAAAATATATTTTTGGTTATTTCAAGAACACAAACAAGTGAAAAGAGACGAAGAGAAAAAAAATTAACAATAAAAAATATTGTTCAATAACTTTATCGACAATATTGTAATTGTTTTAGTAGAACATATTTCTAGTGCTTTAATTCAGCTATTTGCCTCGCTTTATTACATAATTCACTTACCTGCAACGGACACGAGCAGTCAATATGATCAGAAAATCTGATTTTATCAAGTTGAAATGATCAGTTTTCTTTAAAAAAAATGAATTGAGACATCATCTTACGTAGCATAATAACAGACAAAATCATGAACAGATATATACTCACAAAAATATCAAGAAATAAGTTTGTCGTACATGTGAAGTTGCATTGAGAAAGATTGAACATGGCGTAATAACACTATTTAAGTTTATTTTATATATGAGTCATTATGAGATCTTTTACTATTGAAACACAAAAATATGTTTTTTTTTTCGCTGTAATTGTGATTCAGTTACAGAATACGATCATAATTTGGCAACGATGCGAAATGACTATATTATATTCACATATACGATGGTAATAATCCATTTGAGAAAATCATCTGCCCGTAGACTTTTACAGGTAGCGTTAGGGCTAGGATCATACACACAAGCGTGTAAGACAGATCTGATTCATTTTTTAAAAGTGTATATCCAAGCATACTATATTACAATGTTGAATGGATTTTATTACAAGTGTCAAATATCCTAGATCAGTGTGTTTGATTTTTTAAAAAAATGACTGTTAAAATTATTTGAATCTTAGAGTGCATATTTTTTTTTGAACATTCAAAGTTTAAGAATTCAGGTCTTTTATATCGATAACCTGATAAATTTCAGATGTATCTGCATCACAATTATTGCTGAAGTACTTCTAAATAGAATGTACGAGACAATAAATTTGCTTATCATCAACTAAATATCTCCTGCCAATAACTAATGTTTTCGAAGGGGCAGACAAAACGTACAATGAAAAAATAAACGTTGTGAATTCGGAAAAGAAAGCAAGAGGTGTACAGAAAGTCATTAAAAGTCCATTATTGCCGGTTCAGAACTCTATACATCCTATGGTATAGAGGAGAATACTGAGATATTTATGGATCAAGAAGACGACAAATGACACAGATCAGTATTTGAATCATAGATACACAATTGTCACTAATATAGTGGCTTGGTTAGCTTCTATAAATAAATAACTAAATTTGTTTTATTTATTCAAAAATCCTAATTTTAATAAAGATTTTTGATAATATTCGAAAATAAAAATGTATTGTCATATTTGAAAATGATGAAGATCAAATTCCATTATAATCTAAAAAGATTTTCTTGCAAATTTATCGAAAGATAAAATACAAGGATTTTATTATTTTGAATATGGCAAGTCTATGACAAAAAATTACAGTTCGTTTTTAAACTTACTCGTTAATATAGTGAATTTTTCTGTTTTCATCAATTGATTCATAAAACTTTACTGTTTCTTCATTCGTTTTTTCTTTTAAATCGTCTTATAATTATTTGAATATCTATTTCATTCAAACAAGGTTATTTGCTGTTTTATTCAACTTTTCTTGTTGTTCACTTCCAATATAGTTGATATTCTGAAATAATCAAAGCTAAAAAGTAAAAAAATCGTATATAAAATTTAAGTATGTGGCAACATCGGGTGACATCAACTGACTGAGAAAATTTTTCTAACTATACTCAAACTTAACAGACTTCGAAATTAAATGAGTATCTCAGGAGATTGTCAGTACAAAGGCGAAACATTCTTCCTTTTTCTGCTACAGGCAGTGTTCTTATCGATAAGTGCACACAACTCATTGTTAGCAAACAAAAACAAAACAAAAAATAATGCAAGTAATTAACTAAGTTTATTTTAAAAAGTTATTTGTACATTTTAAGATTCTCTAAACGGCAATCAATACTTTCTTCGAAAAAAACAACTCCCCAAAATAGCACAATAAAATCCCTAAATATTGGACGTAAAATAGCACACAACATTCACAACTTAAACAATAAACTTGTCTAATAATCATCTAACTAAAAGTCGCAGTATGAAAAACATGCAGTATAAAATCCGTGTCAAAATACCTATCTGACCAGAAGTGATATCTGTACAAAAAAAAAGAAATATCTGAAAGAAGGTGAGAAAGGAATAATCTGATCTCATGACAAAGAAAAACGTTAAAAAAGATCGATATATAGATATGTATAATATTCTAACTGAGATTACAAACAATATCAGAATATTTTCGATTAGAGAATAGAAAAAAAGCATATTAGTTACTAAGAAAAAAAAGAAAAGGAATGTACAATAATTCATTTAAAGATTAATTACAATCTTTTACTTGTAATAAGACATTTTGATGTGGTCCATAGCTACTTGTTGATGAACATCGCGATACTCCTGTTCTCCATAAATGCTCTATTTTTTCAAAATCATTTTCATTATAAAATCGATAATTATCATTATTTACATGAATAAGTGTTGTATTCATATCAGCTGACTTTTTCATACGATAATAATTAAAATGTATATTATTTTCAATATCGAATATTGCAGATGATGTTTTACATTGTTTTATATTATATTTAATATCACCTAAAATAAAATCAAAATTTGGAATCTGATAAGCAAATGTCCATTTCAATGACACTGGTAACATTGTTTCATTCATTATTTTAATTTGTTCGGGCTTTGTAAAATCGAAACATGCATGTTTATTTAGACAAAATATAGTTTGTTGTTCATTTGTAGAATATTCATAGATCATTTTTCGTTGTTCAATGATTGTACTAATATGAGTTAAAAATATATTTGAACTACTATCATTCGATATAGATAAAAAGACGCCAACATTCTCAAAATATTTTTTTTGACTATATTTGGCAAGATGAAAATCTTTTGGATTTTGTAATAAAAGATTACCATTAGCATCAGTCGGTAAATAAGCTAAAATATTAATTATAACAGATAAACTAAATACAAATATAACACCAATCGTTGAAACGGTATTAAAAAATCTTGATAAACAATCTTTTTTCTGATAATCATTACGAATTAACCATTTATTAATTAATATAAATATAAATCGAATGACAGCCGTACAAATACCAAAGATTGCTTTGACTAATGAGACATATGTTACTTCCCCATCTCGGCCTAAAATGCAGGAATATGATATGTAGGTGTATCATATATTTCTAGAAAGTGAAAAAGTGTTGTCAACAATTCAATGCTTAATGGTAGAACAGATGATCTCTGATTTGCCTGATGAGATTGATAATCATTCTTTCAGTGAAGAAATTCCTAACTTCGGCAGTATAATTTATTACTTACATAGAACAACAATAAGATTTAATGTTAACAATGGAATATCTTCAAGCCATAAAGTAAACAAATTTGTTAATTGTTGTAATAAAGACGATGGTTTTTTTCGACAAACATCATACAAATTTTGAATAATTTCGAGTAAACTAGTTGCTGTTGCTACCACACAAAACACAAATATGGATAATAAAACTTGTTTTGTTGGAGGGCCAAAGACGAGACCGGGTAAAACAGAGGATTTGCCAATATAGAAAGACCAATCGACAATAATATCCACAATATTTAAAAGACAAACAATAATTAGTTGTGTAACTTTAAATGATCGACGATTTATTAAACGATGAATCCACGATAACGGTTGAACGGTCTCAAATGAGGGAGCTTGTCGATATTGTTTTACCATCTATAAAATAGAAATTGACTAATATCTCAGGTAATCATCGAGAACAAAATGAAATAATGTCATGACTAATAATCTTTCTTGCATACATCACAAATCTGGGAGGAAAGAGAAAAACAGCCGAATTTTAGCTTGAAAATGATATGAAATATAGTCAGTAAAAACAAGGGACAAACAAAATATCATTTTAATGATTGAAGACTGGAATTTATAGCAGATCAGATCAGATGTCTATTGCGACGTGTTTTGGTTTTTTGCGTTCTGGAATATTACGGGCATGCCAATAACATTCGTTCCTCCTTAGGATTTTTTTCCTACACTTGTGATTCACACTGACATCTACAATACAAATGTCTGACAAAAAGCGAAGCTTTCAATACTCTTATTCTAACACAACACTGGATGTGGTCGATATCGTCAGAACAGTGTACTCCATTTTGAATAAATCAGCTTGTATCAAAAAAAATATTTATACTCAACATGATTGTTTTTTCGCTTAATATTAATAATTTTTACTTCTCAAACACATCCCATAAGGTTTGTTTTCGGTTGATCGGCTAATCGATCCGTCACAGGTCATGGCGATTGAAGAGAAAACTACGATTTCATGATGCACAATCGCGATTATTTATCGAGATTATCTATAGCGATTGTGCACCATGAAATCGTAGTTTTCTCTTCAATTGCCATGATATGAGCTGTGACGGGTGATTAGCCGATCAACCGAAAACAAACCTCATGGGATCTACGCAGGAAGAATATTAATCGATTATGAGCCAGTTTTATCAGTGAAAATCTCCACTCTCGTTATATATTTTATATAAGAATGAGCCCTTTACATCTTCGCTCCTTTTGGTAAATAATTTCTTTCGTCATATCATATTGCAATAAATCTAAATAAACAATATTACCATCCATGTCGCACTTTTTTTAAAATACCTCTGGCTATCCGCGATTCAACAAAACATCGTCGGTATACCGCGCGGTTAACCAACGGTAACCTATTAGACCGTGGTCTAAGAAAATACCGCACGGTAACCGTTTTTATCCATTCACCATTATATTTTGCGCCCATAAAGATATAAAAGAAATAGAAAAATTCGAGAAAGTTGATTTCTTCTTCAGATTAAACTTTTCCTTCGGATCATATGCAATATAGACTCGTCGAAGTTCAAACTTCGACTCGAGTCAAATTTCTCTCAATCGAGAGTCTGTCTGTGCTTACAAATGCTCAACGTTAAAAAAAAGAAAATTGAAAATTAGTTTCGAACTCCTATTCTACGTGTTCAGAATGAAAAAATATCAGACGATACAGCTGGTTATACCGACGGTATACAGGGACATACCGCGTGGTTACCGCCGTTATACCGGACGGTATTTTTGTTTACTACGGCGGTAACCGTCGATGTTTTGCCGATATTAAGCACATAGGCAACGAATGAAAGCTTGGCTGTGACGAATTTGGGGATCATTTAACCAAAATTCTTAACTCCTTAAACTTTAAGTGAAAAATCTTAGTTAAGGGTCAACTTAATTCTTCGTTTTGCTTTAAGTTTGTCTTGACTCTATGGAGGATGATCTTAAGTTAAGCATTGTCTTAGAACGTCTCCAAAATTACCTTAAAGTCGATTCTATGATACAAAACACTAAAACAAACTAAACGTTGACTTGTCTGTGCATAAGTTCATGAACGAACAATATTAATGGAATTTTCCGCCCAGTACAACTGTACCGATATCGGACTACCCTAAAAAATTTTACCATATAATCAGAACGACATCTGAAATCTGTATCTAATTAGCTATCAACAATATGTTGCATTATATATTAAATACAGATGTTATATATTAATATAAAAACAGACGTGATTTTATGCTTGAACTATGGCATAAACAACTATTGTTCGAGGTCTGCTGTTGTGATAAACTACAGATATTTCTCGATATTAAACTTTTCTCACTGGTTAGTAAACAAATCGTTAGGATATACAGAAGAAAACAAGGAAATACAAGACAAAAGTATTATGCCAAGGAACAGAAAATGTTCGAATCTCTATTCGTATAAAAATTGATTTTGTGTTTTTCGATAGTTTTAGTTTAGAATACTATAATGGAATTTATTTCCGCTTGTATTCTGATAGAGCGAAGCTTATATCAAGAATAAAGCTTATATCAACAGATGTTCGAAGAAGGAGAGAGATATAGACTACTTCGCAAGTATTGGCTCATTTGGCAATAACATGAGATACGTTATCTTTACTTTTTTACCACTGAAATGAGAACTTCTGAATCAAGCAATATAAAAAATCGGCACGTACACCAAAAATTATCGATGATTGTCATTAATTCGCTTTCTTTGAACTATCAGCGTCTTTAGATACGTCTTTATTTGATTTAGATATTTAGTACAGAAATAATATATAACAAACCTGAGAGACACAAACGAGGGAACGAGAATACAGCGCAAGTACTTGAGTGAATATGCTGCGCGGTCGCTGTGGCTTTAGATACCGTCAACAAAGTCGCTGAAGTTTTTGTCTCCTAAGACTTGACTGGTATCCATCCCTCCGTTTTTATCGGCGGCACCGCTGAGATTATATAAGACAGAGAAAATAGGACAAAAAACCGGACTGTTCTTTGGCTTCAACGTATTCACCTTTTTATTTGACTATCCCTCTCCGCTAGAAAAACTTGGAAATTTCTTCTTACACAACCCATAAAAGATTTATTAGACGAAGTGATCTTCATGTGTCAGAACTTTTCGCATGTTGGGATAAATAACATTCTTTTACTTATAGATAGTAACTCAATCGGTTCATTAGAAAATAACCTCATAATATAATAGATAGTTGCAGATACATTAAAATAGGTAATCATAAAAAAATATACTCATTGGATTAATCGATTGCTGAATATAATTAGAGTATTATTCCTCTATGTTTCGGTTGAATGCCTCCTGAGCATTGAAATGCTTTTAAGATAAAACATCAGACAGTATTATGGATTCTCTAGACACAAATTCTTCTAACGTCAGTCACTGATAGTTGTACGCTCACATAGTCTACTATATACTGTTCTATATTTGACAACGATGTGCGATTTTAACGACAAATACCTCTTGTAGCATATATCCATCAAAAATCCTGATACAGAAATACTATAAACTTCGTCGTTCGATGTCAACAAGTATTAATGTTATACAACCTTATATATCAGCAAGGTTTTCAATTTACAGAGTGATTAATCCATTCGGTATATACCGTACATAGATGTGCTCTTAATTAGAGCTAAAACGTGCCAACAATCGACAGTGAAAAGTAAAAACTAGACCAAATGATTTTCTAATTATTAAACAAAGCGAAGAAATAATTGTACTACTTATTGTTTGGACGATTCGGTTTTGCAGAGAGTTTCATTGGGAAAGTTTACAAGTAGGTACACTATTACTATCTGGTCTTTGTGAACGAAAATGTAGTGATTAAAACAAGTAGTTCCATACACCCTTGTTAAAAACTGAAGTTGATGATGTTTTGGGTCGAACTCTATGATGGATTTTATGAGATCGTCGTAGAGACTGAAGTATACTGTTTGAATTGAATGTATTTTGACTAACGATGTTACATAGTCAGAAAACAGTAAACAAGCAAAAAAGGAATATTTCGCTTGCCTAAGAAGCACTGTTACTGATAGTGAGAGAGAAAAAATGAATCACAATATAGTGAGAGAAAAAGAGAAAGAATAACAATAGTCCTTATGTGCCACAAGAATAGCAAAAACATACTAAAAATAATTTACATTATTTTTGAGAAGCATTCGAAATACATTTAAATTGGTCGTGTGTGCTATCGAGGGTGGAAAACCATTCCACCGCTTAGAGGCGAGGGATATGAAAGAAGGCGATGAAGCTTTTGTGGGAAAATGTGTAGTAATAATCTGTCTCACATGCCCAAAACGCATAGATTTTCGATTATGAGAAGGTGTAATAGATTAAGATGTGAAAACGGACTTGTGCCATAGAAAATTTTATAGAAATGAATGAATTTGAAATAGAGTCTACGATTTTCGAGACAAAGTAAAAAATATAGTGGTGCGATGCTGAACACTCTAGAAATAGAACTTAACCACCTTCTGCATTTAGCAGCCATTTGATTTATATGTTCTTTCCAAGTTAGATTGTGGACAAGATGGACTCCAAGCAATTTTAAAGAAGGAACGTTCCCAAGCGAAACACCAGTTTACATTTTTCATAGTGAATATGGGAGGAATTGTTACTGTCTGAATGGTGATATTTAACTATCAAGTCAAGTCAGGTGGAAATTAGTTGGATTGAAGCTAATGTGGTTAATTCTCATCACTGGTGAAGCAGCGTGTTGTACGTGTAGTTGGAGAAGTGCAGCATAAGAAGGTCGGAGGATCGAATCCAGGAGAACTTCAAAAATTGTTTTAATAAAACATTTCTCCTATAAACACTATTTCTCTACAAAAACCCCGTCCTAACTGCTCGGGAGACTTGTAGATCACCTTTGGTGCCTTATAACTAGTATTGCTAATAAAGGATCCATCGTACACTTCGTGTCAACATTAAAAATAAGATCACCATTTACGTAGGATATAGCTAGTAACGTGTGAGTGATTACTTGTAAAGACTATTTATATATATACATAAGTATACGGCCTTCATACGAATGTATTCTCATAACTCGTAGTTTCGTTTTGCAAATTTAGTGTAATGGGAAAAAGCGTCGTTGGACAGGTGCAACATGAAGGTCGGAAGATCGAATCCAGAAGAACTTCAAAAATTATTCTAGTTAGTTATTAAGTGCGGCAAGTCTTTAGGCCAGCTGAATACATTTATCAATGTGTATAAAGCGGTTCGACTATGCCTATATTAAACATTTTCACACAAATCAAGATGTTTGCGATTGTATCTATCGTTCACATATGAGCAGGTGCTGGAACAAATTTCTTACTATTTCGATTAAACTTTGTTTCTCGTCCTGTCCTATGATTTACAGTTTGGACACAGCTATCTTCCCATTTCAAAAGAGTTTAGAGTTTGTTTTTATTTATCTAGTCGTTTTCTATCGAAAAAATAGTTAGCCTTGCCATCAGCCTAGGAAGTAATCGAGAAGTCTGTTCGATCAAATACTTATATCTTCCGAGAATAGAGACTGTGCTGTAAAGGCACATTTGCCTCCAGTCAAAACATGAATTCTGAACACATCGGAGTATTTTACATGAAGATAACTTACATGATCAATGTATCTAACATTCTGCTCGATTTTTAAAAGATTTCTTTCATTATTTTGAATACAATCTAAAGCAGGCATATCTCAAAGTACAAATTTAATATATAATCATTCATGCCAGTTATATTATATTAAAATCCACCACCTCACAAGAATTTTGAGTGACAGCGTAAAGTGCTGACAATATGAATCGAGATAATAATATGAGTGAAGAATAATATTACTTATTTTTTTACATATTAAGAAAATTAAGTTTGAAGCTGAATTAAGTCAAGCTGCATCGTCAACTTCGGATAACTTTACGTTCTAACAAATGAAATAGGGTTTAGATGGCAATTTCTGAAATGCTTCTAATTTTCTCTAAAATGTCAAATTTATTTTAGGAAAGTGGTATTAAGTGGGTAAAAATACCTTTGGTGAAGAGCAACTTCGAGGAATCTTCAAATGCATTTGTCACCAATATAAACAAAAAATGAAGTCGAACAATTAATTCAAAATTCTATTAGTCTTGTTGCTCGACCTATTACAAATGAATCACTATATGAAAAAAAGGTTAAAGTATCGCCATGAAAAGAAGAAAGTTTAAAAAAGAACTGATTCTGAAAAGAACAAAATACGATAAACACATGCTAAAATCGGTAAATGGTACTCAACTTTCTCAAAAAGTTAGACAAGACTATTCGTGATCAAGGACATAATTAATGAACCAAAAATATTCAGAAACTTAAACTGCATCAATGATAAAAACTAAAAAGTTTTATGCTTGAAGTACATAAACATGATCAACTTGAGAAAAAACATTTCATAGAATAAATAATATAAATAGAGAAAAATAACAGCTACGAGAGAATATCTAAACAATATTAATTTATTGTCTTTCATTATCCTTTTTCGGCTAATTACTTAACTAACTGAATTTGGAATTTCCAAGGTATTACTAAATTTTCGTTGACTAACTCGTCTTCTCATCATTTGAGATATTTAAACGCTATCTGATTGAAGTGCAGCATCCCTTTTTAGTTTTCTCGTCTTGTAAAGAAATTAGAAAAATTATCAAATCGTAATACATGAATATTTAACATCGCATCGCAATTATTTATCAATTATGGCAATATTTTCATCTGTTGAATAGATTTTATTATTTTTTTGTCACTTGCTATATATGTTCTAACTGTTCTCTTTTCTTTTCTGTTAAATGTAAATAAAAAATAATGATAAAGTCGTAGTAGTAAACAAAGATATTTTTTGGAAGCGAGAAAAAAACAACCAAACAAAAAAGAAAAAGCAACAAACATCAAAATGAAAATATACTTAACAATGAATAAACTGTAGTAAATAACTGATTGCATTTCTAAAACCTTTAATCCCCCCACTGTTTTATGTATATATCAAATTAAAAATAGAAAATAGTCGGTCATTTTATTATTATGTTGTTGAGAATTATCCTAGTGAAATGTTTTACAGAAAAACAAAAGAACAATAAAAACTAAAACGCGGCGGTCTTTTTTCCGAGTTTTATAGTACAAGAATAACAAAGCTTGAATATAAAATCTTACAAAAAATTCCGATATTCATAGCTCTTTTGTCTTTTTCTGTTTCTTCTGGATAATAATGATAATGATAGTAGTATTGTTGCTATTGTTTGTTATTAATGGTGTTATTATATCCTTTTATAATTTATCAAGATAATCATCCACGGATGGAATACCTTCTTTGAGACCTTTTCGTTTTCTGATCTCATCAATAATGATTTTTAGTTTTGATCCAGATTCAAATGGATCTTGTGTCATCATCTGCCAATGATCAAACACACATTGAGGAAACGCTTGTCCACCGGTATTTGAACGAAGATCAGCAGTGAATCCTAAACAGAAACATAATGGAAAATGTTACCGAGTACTAGAAATTATGAGTATACTGTTTGCAAGAAAGAACGTAAGTTTTTCTCTGAAATATCATTTAGAGCATATAAAAAGAAATGATGTACGATTATATATATGAATCTCAGGGGGATCGGAGCAAAGTATTTTCATAAAATATCAAATGCTCAATGTTTTCATCACAGATTCAATAATTAATATACACATACATAAAAATTAGTAAGAAAAAAAACAAAGCCCATAGAAAACAAAAATCAATCAACATTCATCAGGAAATCTTCTTCTAATCACTCATAGAAGTCTCAAGGACACAATGATGCAAGGCTGATCTTTGCAGAATGTGTTTATAAAACTATCATTTCGTTAGACTGAAAGTTAAAAAGTATGTGAATTGTACTAATCAAATACTTAAGCTTAAAACGTTTAACCTAATTCAATATCAAAGAGAGAAAATCTTTTTTACATTGAATCACAATTATTCTTTAACTTTTGTTACTGGTTCACCCTCACCTACTGATAACACGCTAGAGTAGTTAAAAAGTGTACATCTACTAAACTAAATAAAATAAAAACATTTTATCCTTACCAAATGATTCGTTGACAGGTAAATAAGCTTTGACAATGAACATGGGTGTGCCGAGAACATGATGTTCTTCAAATACATGTCCACGACGACGATTCAACACTCCATAGATACCGCCAACAGCTGCTTCTGGACACTAAAAATAGCAAAGAGAAAATAAAGTAGTTTGTCATTCAATATATCAAAGAGAAATACCTAACAGATAATAAAAGATATTTTTGTGCGATCAAATGTTAGTTTACAAAGGAATATCTCCTTAATATACAAAAAACATTTCAGACAACGTATACTTTGGGCACCTGAGATAACGCTAATAAGCTACTTAGCTCATTAGTCAGCTTTAGAGTGCCATAACAAACATGTCCGAAAAAAAGCAATTAAAGTGAAGTGCATCATTTACAGAAATCATGCCACTTTTATGTTTTGAAACAAAAAAATATTTATCTTCAAACTCATCCCTAATATTTCTTGGAGGATATAAGATCGAACAGACTTCTCGATTACTTCCTAGGCTGATGGCAAGGCTAACTATTTTTTCGATAGAAAACGACTAGATAAATAAAAACAAACTCTAAACTCTTTTGAAATGGGAAGATAGCTGTGTCCAAACTGTAAATCATAGGACAGGACGAGAAACAAAGTTTAATCGAAATAGTAAGAAATTTGTTCCAGCACCTGCTCATATGTGAACGATAGATACAATCGCAAACATCTTGATTTGTGTGAAAATGTTTAATATAGGCATAGTCGAACCGCTTTATACACATTGATAAATGTATTCAGCTGGCCTAAAGACTTGCCACACTTAATAACTAACTAAAAAATCGTTGATATACCTGCACTTCGCATAGATAAACTGGTTCATGTAATCTTGGTTTGGCTGTTAACATGCACGCATATAAAACTCGTCTTGCTGTTGGAATAATTTGTCCACCACCACGATGGATAGCATCAGCATGTAATGTGACATCATGAATATCAAATCGAACACCACGTAGATTTTCTTCGGCTAGAACTCCTTCTTTTGTTGCCCATTGAAAACCAGCCACACAACTATCTTTGATTTCATTTAAATATTGAACTCCTTTGGTACAATCAACAAGAATATTTGGACCAGTTCCTTCAGGACCAAAACACCAGATTTTACGTGCTTCATTAACATCATATTCATATTTTTCATTCAGATATCTTGCACGTGATTTAAATTCTTGTCGGGGTGTTACCTCACCCTAAAAATACAACGATTTTTTGCAAACGATGACCTAACGAGGGCAAATACATATAAAACAATCTTCCTTACCTTGTCAATATCTTCTGCTAATCCTACAAAGAAAAGAAAAATGTACATGAGATTAACTATCATAATATAGCAGAACTGTTCAAAACTCCTTCAAAAAAATGACGGCATGTCTCACTTTGAATCGACTCTTACTTCTTTTTTAATCTAAATGCAGTGTTATTTACTCCTAGGGGAGAACTTGGATTTACTTTCAACTCTTAGCAGTCGTTCGAGACTAGTAAAATGGTTACACCGTGAAGCCATCGAATCAGCATTTAACTTTATGTATGAAATGCTTTAACTGCATAATAGTACATGTTCTTCCCTGTTACGACCTTCTTTTCTTAGAAAAAGTCAAGAAAAACAAAACTAACCATCGGGCATTGGTCTAGCTTTCATATAAAGTCGATTGTGTTTATTTGGTGATTTTGATAAACACATGATGTCTGACTCGTCTGATACCGTTTCACGATATGATACAACTGGGTCAGAAACTTTAATTGGTATACAAGCATGATCTTCTTCCAAATCTTTCAAACAAATTTCTAAATGTAATTCACCAGCGCCGGCTACGATGTGTTCACCCGATTCTTCGATTATACACTGAAGAGGAAAAAACCAGAATACAATATAAACCGTATTTGGCTAAAACAGCTAATCTCCTCTTACTTGAACCATAGGATCTGATTTGGCCAAACGTTTGAGCCCTTCGACAAGTTTTGGTAAATCAGCTGGATTTCTTGGTTCAACAGCAACACGTACAACGGGACTCACACTAAACTTCATAACCTAAATCAAAGGAAAGAAAATTTTCACCCTGTTTTAGACGATTATATAAAACGTACACGTAAATTATGAGCATTTTCAAATGTTGTAATTGTACCGGTTTTAACCAAATATTGATCAACACCAACTAAACCGCAAATATTTCCACAAGGAACATCTTCAATTGGTTCCACATAACGTCCCATCATAAGAATTGTACTAAAAAGAGAAAAAATTATGATAATCTGTAGAAACAGTTTCATGTTAAAAAGAGTATTCTCACAAACAAGGAGAAGCTTATCATCCTCATTTGTTTAAGTCAGAAACTGAGATAATCCATCATTCATATCCGGAAGGTGAATCCAGGTTCATCATTCTTAACACATGAAAAGTGCTTTTGTAAACGAAATTATTTCTCTTCTCTTTGCAAAAAAACAATGTCATTATACATTGACCGTCGTTCACAAGCAACACATATTTTCCCTACAAAGATTACGAGAAAGTGGAAGAAATCGAATACATACCGTTGGATATTTTTAACATAGAGATCTTCTTTCTTGCCTGGAACATAATTGGGTCCCATAATTCTTGCTTTTTGTCCAGTTTGTACACAACCAGAAAAGACACGACCAAATGCATAAAATCTACCTTTGTCGGATGTCGGTACCATTTTAGAAATGTACATCATTAATGGTGCATTTGGATCACATGCTTTTATTCCAAGAAATGCTTCATCATCTTGTGGACCTTTGAAATAAAAATAAAAATGAAGCATATAGCATGAACGAAAATGGGAAAGGTCAAATTGACATACCTTCATATAATAATTCAGCACGATAACGTTGTGCAACATACGGTGATGGCAAATGTATAGCAATCATTGTTAATAGAATATCACCAGCTGGTAACCATTGTTTCATAACTAATTTCAATAATGGTTTACCACCTTCCTCCAATTTTTCTTTATCATCACCAGATATTTTAATACTTAATTTTTCTAATAATGATACATATTCATCTTTTTTACAATCCATTATAGCACGAAACACTTTAAATATTGGATCTAATATGAATTGATTGAAACCACGTACATAACCTTCACCTCCTGATTTTGCCCATTTTTTCTCCGATGGACTGAAAAAATTGTCACCCCATAAACGTTTCATTAATTTATCTGGTTCGATTTTAAATTTAGCCGAATACATTTCAGCAAATTCTTTTAGTGTAAATGCCCAACCATGTAAACCAGCACCAAAACCTACTGTACCTTTTGTTGGATCAACCTAAAACAAAATATACCTATACTTTAAGAACACTACTAGCTTTTCACTACTAATTGCTTTTCTCATTCAGCGAAGGATATTAAATTTTCCTTATCCATCAAACCAGTTTCATACCTGAATTTCACCCATTGGACCACCATCTTCACCATACGTGGCAATAATGACGTTAACGTTTTCAATGATACGTTGAAATGTTTGATATAAATCTTCTTGTTGTAACTGTAGTTCTAATAACGCACGATCCATTTTATTCATAAATAAAATTGGTTTAATTCGTTCAGCAATAGCTTGTCTTAATACAGTTTCTGTTTGTACGCAAACACCTGAAAAAAAACGGACACAAAGATTAAGCAAAACAATACTTTCAACAAGTTTAAACAATGACTATACCAGAAACACAATCAACAACGACTAATGCACCATCTGTAACACGTAAAGCGGCTGTAACTTCTGATGAAAAATCAACATGGCCAGGTGAATCAATCAAATTAATTAAGAAATGTGGTTGATCAGGTTCACGTTCTTGTTTAATGAACGGTAAATCTTTAGCTGGTAATTCATAATAAAGTGAAATAGCACTGAAACAATAGATGAACCTCAAATAACTAAAATGGGATAACATAACCAACCAACTTACGTTGATTTAATTGTAATACAACGTTCTTGTTCATCTTTACGCGTATCTGTAAAGCGCATTTCACCGGCTTTTTGATTAGCAATAATACCAGCTTTACATACGAGAGAATCTGTTAAAGTTGACTTTCCATGATCGACATGGGCAATAACAGACATATTACGAATGTTCTTCTTTTTGTCCATAAGCGCACGAATTTCATCAACTGTGAAGTGTACCTGTTGTAGGAAAAAAAACATGATTTAAATAAAAAGTCTAGTAAAGATCCGAAATACAAGCAAAAATCGATTAAAACAGATCTTACCATCTTTTGTTTTTCCCAGGTGCTTAATTTGATGGAAAGATGTTTATTATTCTTAAAAAGAAAATAAAAAAACAAAAAGTACTAAAAGATAGTCTTTTACTAAAAGATGGTCTGTGGCGCAACAAATATGAACAGCAATGATTCTACAGAAGCAACCAACAACCTATCATACGACCTTACATGATTGCACAGTCATCAACAGTCAACATGAAAATGAGAAAGAAAAGAACATACGAGAAATGTATCAGGGGGTAATAGTGAACGAACATGGGCGACAGATGCATAGGTGTTATAATCTCAGTATTTATACAGTTGAAATTAGAACTTCGAAAGCAGTTTCATAATTTCTAGTATAAAAGCTCTCTTTTCCCACTTATGACTGATCTTAGTACCACTAGTGGATTACATACACGCGACATCTGGCGACTCATACGTCTCAAAGTATCTGAACGTAGGAGCCGTGAGAATGAGCAAACTTTTTTCAAAATCTGCTGTAACATAAAGAGAAGTAGTATTGTAACCAGAGTTGCCAGATGCTTAGGTCAGAAAAGCGGTCATAAAAAGGTGAAAAAGCGAAATTTTTTCCAAATAAAAGCGGAAACGCACGTTTCACCAATTTTAGCTAGCGCTTTATGGCGGTTCCACTTACGAAACACAAAAGAAGTACAAAATATCATTTAAATCCCAATCTGAATCGCTATTGGGTTTTTGTGAATCCGTGTTTTTGATCAGCCGTCATAAATTTCAAGAATTATATATGGCAGGATAAAATTTAATTCAAAACTTTCCCGCCTACAACAGCACTTAATGGTTAAGATTTTCTGGCGGAGTTTCCTTCCTTGAAGATTTACTATTTCATTATTTTTCATACTCCCTTACAGCAGCACTTGAGACAAGCTAATGTTTTTCTGTTACCGCTCACTTCCGGGGCAAATTTCTGATTCAGTTCTTAAAACAGTGCACATCTGTTTTATAAAAGTTGCAAAAGCATTGTTCAACAGATCATTCAGCTGCTGAAGGCGTCAAGCTTTTTATGAGAAAATATAAAAATCTTCATTGCAGGAAAAACCACAAATCCTCGAAAAGCGGACAAATTGCGGACAGCGGACACTTTACGGAAAAAACTACAGAAAGCGGAATTTATCCGAAAAATGCGGACCATCTGGCAACTCTGATTGTAACTAAAAAGCGATTATAAAACAGGTCCAGTTTAGATGACGTTATTCGATGCTTTTTTGGTAGTGTATGTCATAAAAAGAAACCAGTACACTCCTCATCTCTTCGGTCATCGAAAATATGTGTAATTAATTATCTATGAACTACCGATTTATAAGCCATGCAATGTTTTATTCGTTAGATGGATAGTTTTAGGTCACTGAGACAACTCTACTACTTTTAGACATCTAAACTGGGAATATTTCAATGCCTAGGTAGTTTTATTACGACGAAAAAATGAACATTTTATCATCTCCGGTTCAAGGCTATTTTACCATCATTATGAGCCACTCATGAACCTATTTTTGGAATATTTTCCGAAGTTAGCTTTTTCTAGCGGCTAATCACACAAAAGCTGAATTTTAGAAATTTCAATATTTTTTGTTCCTTAGGATCACGGAATCATCACTTGTATCAGTCCGATAATTAAAGGCTACTCCCTCGCGACAAGTTTCGATGATTTGTGTAATCGAAGAGGAGAAAATTTCTACATGTTTTCAAAAGAATCAGCGCCATTTTTATAGTCATTATAGCAAAACAATAATTTGAATGGTTTGTTAACGAATGGTTAAAAGCTGACATTTAACTGTTCGTTAAATGCTAGGTTTTTTCCTGATATTTAACTGTTCTAAAATGGCATGAATACAGACAGTGAACATTCCACGTGAATTCCAGTTTTAGGTACATGCAGTTAGAATCCATGTTATTTGGCCATGATTTACGATGACATAACCGACAGAAAACGGCGGCTATTAACAAACAGTTTTTAAAGAGTTTTTAACAGATTAAAAGGCAATTTTTTAGTCACTCCTATCAAAGCATTACTCTTTAAAAAGAATAAATGAAAGTGAAAATAGACCTTTCGATTCTCTGCCATCGAAATTTCAAGGACGGTTAACTTAATATATTTCTTCCATGCAATCCGTAAAGAGATTGCTTCAGTGTTTTTCAAAATACAAGAGATCTATAGTTTTCAAAAACACTGATGTGAGTCACATCTCTCCAATTCAATGGCCACTGGAATTGGGTATGGTCATTGCATCTAAGTCCAAAGGTACCGAGACAACGAGCATGAGATAGCTTATCCGAGACTATCACATGACCGCCGTTTGCTGAGATTCGAACTTGGTACTTCGTCGTAGGTTGTCTACCACTAGCCGACTGAGTCACGCTGCTCAAAATTTCGATACGTCTGCTGAGCTGGTTGGTCTTGCAGTGATCAATTGTAGTATAATGAAAACGGTTTAGAAAATAAAATTAAGAAAGTGATACAGTCCACTCTTTCAGTTCATGGATTATAAGGTAAGAAAGGTTTCGAGAATGAAGTTTATCGATATCCGACTATATCATGGTATAATAACCGTCAGACAATATAAAGATATGTTGAAATAAGACTATGTATAGTTTCATGAACATCAAATGTCAATAAAGTTTCATATTTATTTGTTACTTATTATTACGCATATAGTTCTTGCTTTATTGCTTGTTTTGAATAGCTCTTCATCATCGTTTATCTTTTACAGTGTGTCAATATAAAATTAATTTAATTTTTATTTTTTTTTGTTGAGTTTTAATTGTTGATCTAAATTATGAAACAAATGGTGTAGATCAGTAGCGAGATTAAATCAACATATGTAATAGGTACAAGAAATGAAAGCAAACATAAATTTGTATTTATGTGGATATAAAACGGAAACGCTCAATAAGCAAATAAATTGAAAAGCGTGTCAAAAATTGGGAGAGAGAGAGCGCGAGAGCGCATTTTCTTTCTATATCTCTCTTTCTCTCTTTTTTTATGGTACAAAAAGATTCAACGAGTGTTGGACAAAATCAGAGATCATTGTAGAAGATAGGGTCAACACAATAATAATCAAGGATGAGGAGAAAAGAGAACGCATGCAATAGGTTATCGTATGGACGATATCATGAAAAAAACACGTTCAAATGATGACTATGGATTAACAATTAAATAAATGACCAACATGCTTTTTTTTCTATTTGATTCATTTAAGAATATAATACACCCCAGTTTTAATTGATATAATCATTTTTTTATTATGTAAAGGCAAGAAAGAGAGATTTTAAAATTATTGTTTGACAATATCATTTATCTCATTCGTATGTCGACTATAAGTTCCTGTCAAAAGTTGGTAAGTAAAAAAGATAGAAATCTATTTACATGAGCATCCTTCCATTCAACTAAGATAAAATTCATGTAACGTATGTAAATCTATCTTAGTAATTTCGAAGATCGTTGTCAGATAGTTAAAGAGTATGAGTAAACTTATGCATATCATTTATCAATGAGATCAGTTCTTCTCTTGAAAGATGCTCAACAGAATTCTGAATCAATATTGTGCATCTTAGTGCATAGTGTATATAATACAATATAGTGTATCTTGTTCGAAACTAAATAGTATTAAACAGAAAACTTACGCTTTCAGGTATCGAAAGTATTTTTCATGTTTTGTTGTTGAAATTTTATGAAAAAAGGTCTTCATAAGTTCACGTTCCTTTTTTTATGAGCATACGGCTAGACTTGTGTACCATGAATTTTTTCGATAATAAAGAAGGTTGTAAAGTATAAACTCATGAAGGAATTTTCTGTAACAACGTCCATCGTCTTTAAACACAAAAATGGCTGTCAGTTCTATATGAGATTGCTATTGATCTTATAATTGATCCGTCGTTCATCTTACTCTTAAAATTTACAAAATCAACAACAATTTACTTCATGGAGTTCTTTAAGATCGGAAAATGAGATAATTTTTAATTTGCATTCCTTGTAGCTATTTGTTTAAACAAACTTCAGTCCGTGTATAGCGTGGCTCTTAATTTGCTTAAAAAAAACAAGAATGATTTCCATCAGATCTCTGTGAGATGTTTTAAGGGAGGGATGAACGAGATTATTAAGCAACAATGTTTCTTTAACTTGCTATAGATAGTTAGATTATTGAACCAACCAACGTCTTTTTGCAAACGAGACGCGATAAAAAAGTGGTTTATTAACTAAACAAAAAAAAATATGTCCTTGCTTTTTGATCATACTTTCATATTATACTGAACAACTCAAACAAATCTTTTCACTCCATGAAAATAAATAGGATAAATCAGTAAATAATCAATTAGCCTGTTTCTCCTTCACATACAAAATACACCAAATAAAACGCAGTATGGAAGTGACTTTTTTACTTCTGTCAAGAGAGTATATAGTACATGAGAAGTAGAAAGTTATTGACATGTACTCAGTACTAATCCACATGTCAAGAGAAATGAACAACTGCTATTATTACACCAGAATACTGTTAGAAATAGAAACGCGTTCAATTACTATGTAGTATTGGTTCTTCTTTTTTGGAAAATAAGCTTTCTAGACGCTGTTTGTCTTCCTTGGGACCGATCAGAGTCACAGAGTAGACAGATTATTTGCAAAATGTAACTACCTCTTACTATTGTTGTTCGTGGAAATATTGTATTTGATACTGTAAAATAATTTGTAAGCTGATAAGAGACAAAACGATTGATGATGGATGTCTAAAAGATAAAATGACGAAATGAGTCCTAAGTGAGATGAATTGAAAGAGAGTGGTGCTTCATGTATGACTTTCAATTAATTATTGTATCAATTCATATATTAATTACTGTTTATTAGCTGAGTGATCTGATGATCTGTAATTGATAAAATAAATTTTGTATATAAAAAATATGTAACTAAAGTCTTTCTTACAACCAAATACTCTACTTGTTTTCAAAACTGTTTTTATCTATTAATTATCTATTAAGTGATCAGTTTATGTACTGTTAGTAACAGTATCCGTTCATTCGCCTAATCCTTATTGTCTTACGAAGCGAAACATCTGATTAAAAGAAGGTGAATCATGAATAATTAAGAGTGGCACATTAGGGTAAGCTTGAGAAATTCACCGATCATCATCATATCTACGTGAGTACTATTTTCAAGGACTGAGAATTCTTTGATTGTGCTTGAGAACCCCAAGTAAAAAATCTTGACTGAAGATCTTGATAAAAAATTTGAAAGATTTCTGAAGTTTCTGTTCAGTTCTTTCAAGATCTTATGTAGATTTATCGATATCTAATAAGATCTTGAGATCATCTTGCAGTTCAAGATTGTCCACAAGTTTTGTTACAGAATCTGTCTTGAAAAAACTTGATCAAGATTTGTAACTGATTCTGACGAAGCAATTAATTAGTTATTAATTAATTAGCAGAATCTTGACCGTTTTTCGATATCTGTATAAATGTAGAATAGTTTCCTGGATTGTTTAGGTATTATTTTCATTTATTTTTATTTTTATCTACTGTATTCTATTGCGCTCGCTCTGCAGTACTGCACTGTATCAACAGTACTGCAAAATTCACAGCTCTTACGGTACCGTTCACACAATATCGATGTTGTTCAGTTGAACGTTATGTCTATAATATACTTGAAGATTTCTCAATATTTTACAGTGCGGATGCTGTTAAAATCTTTAAAGAACTTGTGCTGGTTTTCTCTTTCTGCAAGATGTGGAAACAGAAAGACAGCATATCACAAAACAAAAACTTGTGACGGAGATAGAAGGAGAACGTCGGAATCGGTTAATTAATGAGAATAGCCAACTGTATAGCTGGCGACTCGTAAGAACGAGAATCGAGCGAATCTGCATAGCATAGAATAAAAAGAAATGTTACGGTTTCCGATTAAATTTTGCACAGACATTCAATTCAATAGAAATTCTTGTATCTCACTTCGGTTCTGGACAATTGAGCGGTTGCTTAGAAATTTTTTCTGAATTATTCTAGAAGAAAAAATATCGAGTTGACCGACACTCGTCAACTAGGAAGTTTCAATTTTTCACTTTGGTTTTTATTTTTGTTTGCAAATTCAATCTTTTCTGAAAAACTCATTTTAAGCCATTTGTTCAGCTTTTCATCTATGAAATGTTTACCACATAAAAATAAAAGAATATTTCAAAATTCAACTCTTCTAAATTGTTGATGGATCATTGTTACGTTTCGAAATCTATCCAAAGTCTATATCTCATATGCGTAAAGAAAAATTTGTTTATCCTTCACAATGTACAAAGGAGCGACAATAGGAATAGGTGGGTATATGATTTAGTAAGAAGATGAGGTTTCCATTTTCTGAACATAATTTAAGTTTAAGTCAATTTTTTCGGTATATTGAGCTACTTTTAACTTTAAGATCAAAAATGGTCGACATGTATTACGTCGATACATCATGTAATGTTGTCATAAAAAAAAATTATCTCACTGAGATCTGGTAAGATCTTACTTTTTACGATCTAAATAAGATAATCTACGATCTTAATTAAGATCTGATGACTCAACTCATTCATTCTTTTGTTTTGTTGGCATGCATCTATATAAGTAATGTCAAAAAAAATATTTGCATTTTACTTTGTCATTCTTCTAGACTTTACTTATATATGTTCTATAAAACATGTAAAATAGAATATAGATCAAATTTTAGCGGTAGACACCCTAAAATATGCAACGTCTCTTCATTTGCTTAGAGGTTTTTCAGTAAGCGTTTCTAAATACTCGACTAAAATCTCATTGAAAAACTTAGTGGATGTGAAGTAAAAATCGGCCACGTCAAAGGAATGTATCATTGGTTGAACAGAATATCCAAAAATTCTTAGTGACTTATGAATGAATCTTACAAAAATCGTGAGTGTTCTTAGTAAGTTTCAAAGAGATTCTCACTCACATCTTAAAAAGTCACAGATGAAGGTATATGTCTGTAAGATCTTAGAAAAAGCTTATTAAATCTGAAAATGTTCGAGTCTTACATTGTGTGGGCATGAAAAATGCCTAAGAATTTTCTCATTAAGGAATTAATATTCATAGCATCCTTCTTCTATAGGAAGTTTTTGATTTTCATTATATTTTAGATAATTCAATTGTTGACATATTGAGTCAAAACGAATATTAAGTGTTCCAATAAAAACAATATGGACCATTTAGAACGAGTAAGTTTCTGAAATTAAGTGAAAAGCTTTTCTCGTAATTATTAGTATGAAACATTAAAAAGCGTTATTAGTATGAAGTATTGAGCCCGATATTCGATTAACTTTAGTCACTATTATCAAGTTTAACAACACGGGCGACTTTTTTCCGTTCTGTTGGTGACTGTCGAAGTATTTCTAATTGTATAGTTTTTCTTGCTGATTGTGGAGCAGGTGTCGCCGCTCTATATGATGTCTGTGGCGATGATAGTTGCTGACGAGTTGGTGAATACATTCTATTATCTGTTTGTGGCAATGATTTACTTTTTTCATGAACATTCACTGGCCGTCTAAGTTGATCGATCTCTGTATTTTGTGTCATGATGACGGGAGGAAATACGGTACGGATAGAACTTCGACGTTTAGGTGGATTATTATTAATTTTATTTCTTTTGCCGGTATTATCGTTATCGGCATTTTTCCAATTTTTTGCAGGTCTTAAATCGTCCATGACAGTCAAAGATGATAGTGATGATTCGTTTCGTTGAGTTGGATAGGGTCCAGAATTGTTTATTCTACCTAAGGGTGTACGAGGTAGTGGCGTTAATGCTTTTAATTGCTGTTGTTGAATGGGTTTTGGTGGATATTCATAAACTTCATTCAATGATGAAAAACTTTCTCCACCTGTTTGTTTATTAAATACATCAGGAAATGTTGTTACTAAACTAGGATCAACACGATTTTCATATAATTCAGGTACTAAATCAACATATTGTGTTTTTAATTGATTCCATTTATCTGTACGTTTTATTTTCTCAGCATAACGATTAATTAATCGAATACATGCTTGTTTTAATTCCAATGTATTTGATTCATGTGCACATATTAATAAATCAACGGCATTATCCACTGTTAAACGATATGACAAAAATTCACTTATTTGTTTTTTTAATTTATCTAATTCAAAACGTTTCGATGCTAATAGTAGATCTTGAGCATTTTTTAAATCGATACGACAACGATTTGTATAAATATAATTTAAAATTTCACTCATAATTTCGGATGAAATATCATCAATATTTATTTGTAATACATAATCATCATTTGTATTTGACTCATGATAATCACTTATCAAATTACGAAACCATCCGGAACGACCACCTGCAACAAAACGAGAAGATAGTCTATTTTTATTCTGATAAATATATTTTTTTTTCTGTGTTATTGTTGCAAGACTTACCTAGAATACATCGATGTACTTGTAATCTGATATTATCTTGGCAAACAATAATTGTATCAAAGAATAAACCATTTTTTAATGTTGTAAATAGATCGTTTTCTAGTTCATTTAATACGTATGAATTACGTTCAGCATCTATTTGAGTAGTGGATGTTGCTGGATTTACGTATGCGCTACTGTTACTATTGATATTAGTCTGACTATGATTAAATTTTGTTTGTAATGACAGTGTATCATCAAATCCACCATTTTGATCGCGTTTTATTCCGTATTGATCAATCATAATACCCGAATTGAGTGCAGCAGGATCGGAAGGGAGCAAACGTTGATCATTTTGGCCCATATTTTGAATACGTAAATGATAATAGAGACGTTCACGTTTACAAAATGTACGCATTGTAAACGATAAACTATTACAAAATGGACACATTGCTCGAAAACGAATACGACCCGTTGATTGTTGAGCATTATGCTGTTGATGATTGTAGGAGAATAAAGTAGATGATGTGCTGAGTTTTTTATTATTTATATTTGCAATTGTATTATTGATATCATTTCCATTTTGTTGTTGAATTAACAATTCATCACTCAGTTGAAAGGGTATTAACGAATGACATCGATCACAATGAAGTGATTCAAATAATAAATTACCGTAACAACTGCAAACGTTTTGAATTGAAATATACATAATTAAACTAAAAGTAATGATATTAGATCTGAATTTCTCTAGAATCCAATTTGTTCAATTGTTTTGTTAAATTTTTCTTGATCATACTCACATTAGTTTAACCAACTAATCATACTTAGTAAATTTGCAGTAATAAGAATAAATAATAAAATTCGAAAAGTAGTTTGTCAAAAGTATAAAGATAGGAGTTTTTATACTAAATTATACTAACCTATAAGCAGTTCGAAAACATTAACTGTAAACTTTTTCGTCGAGCGATTGTTTTAAATTACTATTTCGTTACTTGACAAACTACGTTATTTGGTTTCAAAATAATATTATGAAATTGTTTTGTTTGTTATTAATAAACTTCGTATGGCATCGATTCTTTTTTCTTTTTGAGAGCTCTATGCATAGAATATTAATTTGATTGAATATATATCTATGTGAACACTACCTACCTTTTATTCGCTTTGATTCAAGTTGGGAGACCGCAATATTCGGATTGGGCAAGTTAGACCTTGAAGGCAGACAAAAAGTTTTCTTCAAAACTTTTACGTCAGGTGCTTAGCCCAAAAAATTAGGACGAAAACTTTTTTTTTCTAAACAAGTCGAGTTATACACCATTCGATGCAGTTTTTTTTTCGTAGATTCCGAATATCACATTGGTGTTGGATAAAAGTTCTTTTAAACGTTTAAAACTTAAGTTTTCCCCTTTTTTCATTCTGCAGATATACGTTCGTGTTCACTGAAAAAAAGAGAAACTATGTTTTTTCTTCTCTCTTTTCTCTCTTCCCATATATGATAAAACAGATTCTTGTTTTTCTAACGTGCCATCAATATAAGGGCATTTAGTTGATTTTTATGTTTTGGGATTACAGTGAGAAGAGGTGACATAATTATAATACCTTAGTATACACAAAATTTTAAACTGTCAGAATTTGAATATTTTACATTTCGAAAATAGGTACAATCCGAGATATACAAGTTTTTAGAAAAATTTAATTAAGTAAAAAACTCGCTTTTTGACTTAATTAAAAAACGCGAAACTCTAATTGTAGTCTCAGTAGATAGAGCACACGAAATAACACACGTAGAGTCATTTTTGACTGGTAATCACAGCATAGATACTAACGGAATCAAATAGTCCGAAATGATTTTATCAAAATGAGTTGTCTTCCAGCTCTAGGAAATGGTGATTAAGCGATTATAATGCAAAACACCAGAGGAGGGACGGCAGGCAAAGATTTCAAGGGAAACTTTTTGTCTGCCTTCAAGGTCAAACGTAGGTGAATACCGTTTTTCAACAGGCCCAATCCGAATATCGCAGTCTTCCAGCTCTAATTAAAGCGAATTACTAACAGTTTTTGAGTATTGTTACTCAGTGAGTACTCAGTTACGCATGCGAGTATTCAGAAAATATTCATTCACCGTTTTATTTTGCTAAACTGAAACTGTATAAAGAACGTGGAATTTAGTGAAGAAACATAGAATATTTATATTATTATTTCCTCACTGGTCTCTCTGTATATAGCCAGGGATGGACTCGTTTATGACTGGACTTGTAGTCCTGCTCTGGCTATCTGCCGAGGGAACCTCCTGAGGTGCTAAAAACCTTTTTGAGTGGGACTATTTTTAAAATGTAGATCCTCATGGACTATGAAGAATCCCAACTTGGTTCATGCGCAATCAGCTTTGTTGCTGAGATACCGAATTTTTACTCTAATTTTCCCCATAGGACCTGGATTTCAAGCAAAATTGGAGTTTTGAATTTCATGTTGTAACTTATCACCTATTGTAGCCCAGACCAATTGTAGTCGGATGAAAAAAGCCCGAGCTCTAAACCTCTTTCTGTTAGG